AAAACGAGTTTGTGAGTGGTTTTAACAATATATATGACTAGTCATGATGAGCATAAGATTATGCATGTTACGAAGTATGGTAATCACAATAGATCATTTAGTGAACCGGCGAAAATCACTCGGATTGTTTTCGGAATTCATCGTTACTGCGAGGATTGATTGTTCGGGTTTATAGTAAGTGTTCACAATGTTTCTATCCAACTGTCTAACTATCTTCTATTGGCGGAAAAATGTAGAGAGAAAACTGGCTTTACAGATAAAGTCTGCTCACATCAGTCAACTACGTGGAAGATTACTCACTTTTTTGTGACTTGACCCTGCTGATATGTTTCCGATTTATACATACCGAAAGTAGAAGATCTGAAGAGGGGTTAGCATCGAATAACCCAAGGCTAATGTTGTTTTAGTAACGTATTTCAGAAAAAATCGAATCGGTGAAACGGCTAGAGGGAAAAGGCTTCATTTTTTGTTCTTATTATTTCATTAAGAACACAAAATTTAATGAACTGGAACTTTGGTGGATACGTGGTTACATTTTAGGTTTGAGGCAAAACTCTGAATATACCTGACTGAACAATCGGTCGTGCCGATCCAAAGTTTTTAGTAACTTATGCAAAGTTTTCGCTGTCACTTTGCGATCCTGTGATTTTTTGCCAGGCAAGTGGTCGAAAAACACTTAAGATGATTTTTTTGCTAGATAAGCCAGTTTTAGCATATCACTACTTCTGAGCTGTTGCTTCCTAGCTTTTGTATCAGGAAATGTTTCGGTTTACTTGAAATAGCTTTGTATGGACATTCAAACGGAGGAATAAATGGTGCTATCAATTTGTCACACCTTATCCAGACGTGTATGTAGTTTCTTGGGTCCTTAAGTATGTATTTCGCTCGTGATTGTTCACAAATATTAATTGGTTTAAGCTTGAGCATTTAGTCTTGTAGTTGGTTCACGTAACTTTGTAAACTAAGCTCATCACCATCAGTACGATAGTTGATAAATTCACTTGATAGTCCTAGAATCATCATGAAGACTAGTTCTGTTTCTGAACACTGAAAATCAGTTTTAAAATCTCTTTGTATCCTCAATATAATTAATGACAAGAATTCTGTACACTGATTGCGGTTTGAGTGCGATATAAGGGCAACCTTTATTTGATAGTGAAAACGTTCTACTATCCCGTTAGCCCAAGGATTATATGCAGTGCAAACTATTCTGTTTGAGCCTGGAAATTTAGATAAGTTGATGAATCGCTAAGGTCTAAATTGGGCTTCCGTATCGGTCTTTACTGTAATAATAATATATTCCATAGTTCGCAGTATGCATGTTAAATAAATAAAATCTATAAAGGCTAATATCAGTTCATTAGTTCAGATATACTGAGTGGTCTTCAGAATATTCTCCAAAGTGGCATCGCGCCCACGTTGCACACCAAATCCGATCTCCGCATTACTGTTCTAGGGTTTTGGTCGTGCTAAGTATTTATGCAATGCAACGTTTCAAGTTTATAGTTGTTATAAAGTCGACTTGTAGAGCGCTTGGTGTGGACAATGACTTTGGGAAAACGCGCACATCGAGTTTGTTCCAGATGTCAGAAGTTCCATAGCTGTGCCCTCAGAGCATTATATTGAGGAAAAAAGGGAAATCGAGGAGCGGCAAGGCACTTAGATATGGACGATAAACAATACTTAACATTTTGTAGTGGAACAGACAGGTGTGACAAATGACCAGATTAAATTTATAGTAGCTCTTGTAGCTAAAGTGAAATGTGATCAGAGGCTCCAGATGAGAGAATGCAGTAACAAAGTACAATGACTTGTGATATTTACCAAGGTGAAGGAATGGAAGTCAAATTTGGATGAAGAAAGGCTGTTTATTAGAACAGAAAGTGTATATAGAGAGTAAAGTGTTAAGAAAACTAATAACTATGTCTTTTATTGTCTGATTATTTTTCTAACCGAAGCCTGCCACACAGTCTCAATGTAAAGGTCCGAGCTAGCGTTTTATAAGTTGTCATAGTAGGATAGCTAATCCAGCATAAAATTGGAAACATGAGTCTAGATGATGAGTGTAGGAGAACAACCTCAATATCACAGATTGATTGACTTGTTCTCAAACATAAAGAGCCTGATACAAACAAAATGTTCTGTCCCACAAACATGGGTGGATTTAAGTCATCGCCCTCACCATCAATGCCTGCTGGTCATTGACTCCACCCTCCCTCCTTTTGTGATGTTAGGTTCATTTAAGCTTTTTTTGGATATATATCATACCTCACACGATGCTCTGTGTTTCACATTCCGTTGGAAAACACTAAATCTATAAGTACCATTTTACAAGCTTGTCAGGCAGTTATAAATTATGGACTGTGGGTAAGTCATCGATGCAATGCTTTAATTGACAACGGTATAAAGTATAGGTTGCCAATCAGAGTATAGGCTTCAAGAAGGGTAAATTGTGGGATAGTTGTTTATCAAAGTGGGTGGAGAAGTATAGAGATATACGAGTTATAGATAAGGTGACAAGTGGTGAAATAATATTAATGGCAATTCAACAGCTGATAAAGAGTCGGCAAGAAGGAACTCACATTAACCTGGTGATGTCGTTATTTTGTTTGATCCTAACTTGTTGATGAGTAACAGGTTCCATAGATGCGAGACCACTGGTAGTAGGCAGTCAATTGTAGGGTAGTAGTGAGCGTCTCTTAGCGACTGAGTATCGATATGTCCAGTGAGTCACCTGTCTAATTCCAGTAAAAAATTAGGGAGGGATAGGTATCCATTTTAACTACAAAGTAGGAAAATGAGGCAATTTGGTCTATACATGTAAAGAGCCTATAATTTCTGTGTGAGACGCATATGTGTTCGTTTGTGCTAGATCTGTGCAAGTGGGGGCTTGATCAATAAGTCTTACAGACGTATGTAGATCATCTGCTATGCGCATTTCAGAGAGAAGACTGCTCCACATTATTACATACTTACTGAGGAAGAATAGGTGTGCCAAAATGGTCACCCACTTCCGCATGGAAATCTTGGCCATTAGTTCGCCTTTGATGTTCGTTACTGGTATGGCCATAGGAAACTTCATGAATTGATCTATACACGTAAACGGATAATTCAAAGAGAGGCAAAGAGCCCACTAAGCAGACATGCGCATGGGCAAATCGCGCAACTGACTGTGAGAAAACACCGATGAGTGGGTTTGTGTGACGGTTGACTTTTGGCAGTTGACATACCGAGCACTCTCTATTCCGTTTGCGTACATCCTTCTGTACATTTGGCCATATATATCCGGCATTGATTATTTTAGTCGAAGATTTCGCACCAGGTTGAGACAAAGAATGAACGTTATAATATATTAATCCTCCCATATGTTTAAGGACAAAAGGTTACAGCATTACTTTGGTCATGTCACAGTAAATCAGAATACCGTCAATAAGTGGTGGTAACTTAGGTTTGGGACTAGAATTGTTTGTTGTAAGCAGGTTTCATAATTCTCGTCCCTCTTCCTTGTTGTCCCTTAACGTCTCGAAACTTTAGACTATTGTTTCACGTTCATTTATTGCCGAAATCATGCATTTGACACCTGATTATCCTGACCTTCGATATGTCAGATATCACTTGTAAAATGTGGTATTGTCAATGTATCGGACCTTTAGAGGAGAATATTTATCGGTTCTAGCTCTTAATAATTGGTTAGCGGTCTTTAATCCGTACAAACTATGAATTCCCAGCCTTCTAACTTGTGTTGGAAAAGCCTAATAATTAGGTGGGTTTCAAGAAGCTCCTATCCAAAAGTAGAATTTATAGTTTATCCTGGAGTAAGTCTTCCTGAGAAGAATGCAGCCGATCCCCAGTCGTTTTAACGAGTTGGTGAGGGATACCGCCTACTTCTTTGTACGAAGTATCCACCATCAAAGCGAGTGAAGAATGGGAATTCGGATGCGTCAACGTAGATACTTGAGGTAGTTAATCTTTTAGCTATTTAGTTACCTCAACAACCTCAGAAGTCCCCCTAAATTCTTCTAGTTTTCTTTTAAGTGAATCTGTCAAAAACTGCGTCAGTTGTGCACACTTGGGTATGAATCTTCGAGAAATGTTAATGAGTCCTAGAAAATCCCTATGTTGTGACAGAGAACTTGGTGTGGGATATTGTCTGATGGTGTCCGCCTCTTTTTTGATCGGTGTAATCCATTTTGAGTTTACTTCGTGTCCGAAAAATTATAGAGTTTGCGCAATGAAAACACACTTACTTTGATGTATGTTTATTCCATTTTCATTTGACCTTTTTAACACTTCTCTCACATGCTATTCGAGTGATTTCCGAATTGACAAATGACAAATCGTTTATATACCCCTGTGAAACTGGTATGTCTCGAAGTAGGTTGTTTGAAAATCTTCAGAGTGTTTATGTCTCATTCCTCAGGCCGAATGTCATGCGTGCAAACTCTAACGGTTCAAAAGGTGTAGTAATATGTCTTAAGTATACCTCCATCGTCTACTGATATGTTGTGATGTGCTCCTACCAAATCTTCTTTAGTGAATATGTTCGCATTCTGCAAGTAGTCTGCAAGATCTTGGATCTCAGGTATTAGGTACCGATCTGGCGGTTGAGGGATTTGTTATCTCTTCATGGTTTCCAGTCACTCTCATTTTTCTTTGGGACCATATTTAAAGGGGTTGCTGGTCAATGGCCTGAATAATACGTTCGATAAAATTCGAGATGTAGCAATTCATAAATGACTGCCGAATCCATTAAAAATAACACATCGAATGTGTCGACTACTAACTTCAGACGCAAAAAATGCCTAAAATCATACACGTCAAGAAGCACAAAGTGGGAGCATTTTGTTACATCAGATTACCATAAAGATTTTGGATGGGAAAACGAATATGGATATAAATATTTTGGTTTCTTTTGGTAAAAACAGCAATAGTGGGCATTGAAGATGGGTGACATGACAACCAACATATCACTTACAAAATCAAGGTTATCAGGATCTGTGATGTGTTGTGTTCAGACAAAGTTGAGTCACTTTAAACAATGCAAAGGAGGTGAGAGTAACAATCCTATCCGACACCCTACTTTCTTTAAAACGCCACACATTCAATATTGTGGTGATTATAATTTAGAAGCAAACGTATGTCGTACCTCAGGATTCGTATCCAATATAAGACCATCAATTCGATACAACGGTAAACTCGATGAGAAAGACAACCCAGCTTTCAGGTATTCACCTAATGATCGATATTATTGATTTCAACAGAAACATACTGAGAAGTAATTACCTTTCCACAAACCATAAAGATTTTTTGCCGTATTCCATGCCATCTGGGAAAGAAACTTTACGTTACCTTACAAATCAACAAGCAAACGAGACAAACGTATCAAAAGTCTTTTCAGTAAACGCATATGTTTCTATTTATAAGTGTACAGACAGGAAACTATTTTTTTGAACAGAAGTTTAAAGATATCTTTACTCCAATACTACCAAAGGGAAAACTTGTACTACCAACAAAAGCAGGTCCTTGTAACATCGAAGACGAAAACTTCCATCATGTATGTCGTGAATTGACATAAATGATTTCAGGGCCTTAATACATATTCTATGACCGACGTAGTCCATTACAGTCGAATTAAACCAAGACCGTGTAAGTTAAATGCTGTATCTGTAATCCAACTTTCTCTGAACAGAAAGCTAAGTAAGCCCCCAAATTCATTAGGCGTCTAAATTGTACTTTGTATTCACGTCTACCGTTTGCATACATACCTTATATTTTAGTTGAAGAGGATATCAGAGAGCTGTTTTTCTCATTTTCAGCCTCTTTCCATATTTTTTGTATTTTATTAAACAAATCAATCAAAAAACAAATTTTGCTTTTTTATGGAGCGGTTGTAGCAACTGAATACTTTTGGGAAGTCACAGAGTCCGTGGAGATATGATATGCCCATGGCTTTAGGACTAACGTTCTGTGTTCTCTGAGTCCTTCTAGCCTAGTAGGGGTAAGAAGAAAATGAATGCTAGGTCCAAATCTATTTATTCACATCTTACATACCATGGTTAAATAGCCACGTTGTATAATTTCTCAGTTGCTGAGGACAAAAATAAATATGTCTTTTTATCATTATAGTCGTTGTTACCCATATTTGAGATATGGGTGGAATTATTTAGTAGTTTCGGTAAAAATTGAACAGATTGAAGCTTTTCGATGATTATTTCATATCAGTTACGATTAATTTTTCGCTTATGATGGCAGAAATCAATATTTACACTTTATTAGCTGTAGTCAAGTGATCTCTTCATTTGACCTAAGTTTGTTTGTCTCTCTTAAGTTTTTTTTACATCGACCTTAGACATATTTTAGTTATTCTAATTGTTCGTTTGGGCTTTCTTAAGTCAACTTTATTCTCCACTGATTAAAGTATACTTTAACTTTGTTTAGATGATATAACCTATTTTTAACAAATGCAACAGTGCAATTCTGAGTTGAATAAGATTCTAAAGTGAAAAAAATTAGAAACTCAGGATAACAATAGGTTTAATTTACAGAGGAAGCATATTTTTAATGATTTTCAGGCCTTGTATTATTCCTCTGATATACTTATAGGGTATCCTTTACAAGTCTATTGGTTCTTGTAAGAATGGGCTTTGGGTGGTGCTCTAAAATTTGAGGTTTTTGTCATTCGCATTTTTTAACAGTTAGCGCAACCTCTATACTAATCGATTATTAGCGCTTATTCCAGGTATTCCATTCAACGTCATAAGAAAGTTTAGGTTATGATGACTGTCCTCAGGAAACATTTTACCGCCATCACACTTCAAAACAGCCAATAATGAGATTTATCTACCTGATCCTACGTTTCTACTTTTAGTCATACTATTTTGGATCTATGTCTGCTTTCACATCACGACTTCCTGAATACAGTGGAGAAAATCATATCAATTACCTGTCAAAAATGCTGATTCACATTCTTCAACTTAAAGGCTTACATCATGCCTCCAGGTTTTTTTATGTTGATAATTGACCATGAAGTAAATTTAAACTGAAGTAATGTATCGCTTTCTACGTTTTTATCTGAACTACAATTTCTACTCTTTCTTGTTCATTTTTAATAATCCGCTGATTTTGTTGTTAGACGGATTTCACAATGTTTTGTGTAGCAAGTATATTTTTTGGCTCCATACTGTATCAGTGCTTTGTGCGCCAAACTTCAGAGACAAAACAGATAATCAGTACTTTTTGTTAATTATAATAAACCCAGTTGAACAGAGCAATAGCGGTTAAATGTTGACCAGACTGTTACTTTGGGTAAAAGAGTGTAGCCCAGTTACGGATTACTACAGTAGACTTGCTAGGATATTTTAAGTACCGGTTACGGCTAAAACACCTACAAGATAATGACAATAAAAGGCTAAAGTAATCGTTTTAAATCCATGATCTTACAGTAACGCTGAAACTTTTAACTTGAGTTATTAAATACAAAATATGTCTGATAACAAGTCATTAACCATCAATGCGAGTAAAACTTAATAAAAGGCTAACAGTTTATCGCTCTTAAACTGGTTTTTTACCGCGATTATTTTGCAGCGTGGTATTTCTGAACGTGAACGAAAACTAATCAAGTACGATAAGATTATTTGACTTGTAGCCATGCATTAATGCAATTTCTCAACCATCAAAAATCAGAAATTTAAGTGTTGAAAGAACGATCGCTCTAATCAAACAAAATAATATCTGGAGAGTTAATTAGTTACAAAAGCTTTCAAACGAGAATTATAAAGGAGTGAATGCATTTACCATGCTCATACTGATCTTTTCACAGTCTTGTAAAACTACTTAAATCAACGTCTATAATATGTTAAACAATAGTGTTTAATCGCGGCAATGAAATTTATTAGAAAAATGCTTAAGACATATTATAGGCTATATTTTGTTTTTACGACTCATTTTAACCCTGTTATACAACAGACTGTTTAATTGGCGGAGAGCAATCTGTCTTGACGACGTTGTGTTCTCCAGGTGTCGACTACTTTACAAAATAATACCTTTTTGAGTTGAATAGCCCAATGCAATAAGTTTTACTGATGTTTTGAGTATATAAACGCCCGAGGTTTTAAAGTAAGCAAAACCAATCATTCAGTTTAGAAATCATAAATATATAATTTAGTCATTTTCTATGTTATCTTTCATTTAAATCTCATTGTGCTTATCATACACATGTGCTTGAATGCACTATGGACGTTAGAATTGCACTCCCAGATTTTTCCACATTTATAGATATTTTCCATTCGTATTTTTACCAAATAAATTGTTAGTATTTTACACAAAACTTCAGGTTATTTGTTTGGCATATTATTTACCTTCATATAAGCAACTAGAAAATAATTAAATCTATCATAAACCTGAAGTAATCATCGAAATTCTTCTATGTTGATTCAAAATGAAAGTTAATTTTTTTATCGACAGGTTGATTTTTTTGTTACAAATTTGTATTTATTGAACAATACTTGAAATTTGTTGTGAGAAATCAGAGATGACTAGTTATCTTAAAGTTATTCCGTCTGCTACAATCATGGACAGACGTCAAACTTCACTTTCATTTCTGACAGTGTCAATCTTTTGTTTTTTAACGTTAGAACTTTAACCTTCCGTATATTTCAGATGATATGTTCAAAGTTACTGTCGGTCGTAAGGAAGAATCTGGATCTACTAGTAGTATAAGCAACTTTAATGCAATCAGCAACCGTTTCAGATACTCGTTTACAACTGTTCAACCAGGTCGGAAAACTGATAAATTAGCAGGCCAAACTGCTTATATGAGTGATTTTAGACCTTTTTGTTATAAAAATGGTTCTAAGCTTTTCTCATATTGGGTAGGCAACTTATCGCACCAGGAGCCAACTGATTATGTTATTCAAAATAAAATTTGGCCTGAATACAAAAGTCATCATTCATATTATGTAAGCCATTGGTCTTTTAGAGGTAACTTTTGTTAAATAATAAACCGGATAATCAGTAAACTAAGACACGGATTGTTTTTAATCGTGTTAATGACTACGATAGGGAGACAAATAAAAACGTAGTATAAACCACAGAGGTGGTTCGAGAAAAATGATCAAAATCTACAATAAATCTGGAACAGAGAAATCAGCAATAGATGATCAACAATGAACAAAAAAGGACTATTAGACAAAGGAAACAAGTCCATTTTAACAATATCTTCGAATGGGTTATCTGGCTAACTGTCGTTAATCCTTAGTAACATTACCAGTAGTTTTCAACCACTGATTTAAAAAGCCTCAAGTAATACTATCAAAACGCATTTGTCTCTCTACACCAATTACACTGATGGCCATTTACTTTATGGTAACATATATCTACATTATTGTATGTTACATACTTTAAATTTATTCATATTATATGAGTTCACTACTGTCGCATTTTCCTGCATATACAACGAACTATCTCGAAGTTTAAAGATTCTAAACGGTTACCAAATTTTAACTGAAAACCTCTTTACCTTTTTTAGTTTATTTTGTCTTTAGTATTCACTGACTAAAAAGGTTAGATATGGATAGATCGTAAAGATATTTTATGTTTAGCTTAAAAAATAGTATTCGAATTGAGGAAAATAAAATAAAACCGAATCGTTGGTATCAAATCGCTATGACAGTTTGGAAACCTTATTAGTAAGAGTGCAAAGTTTTCCATCTTTTATATCAAAGACTGCAATCTATTGGTCTCTATTACCATATGTGAATTCTTGAAAGATTTTTCCAGCACTTCCTTTTCTATTTAAAATGTTGATATACTTAGATTCTAACTAGCAGTGTAATCCAGAAGGTTTGTTTTATACTACTCAATATCGATCAGCTGAACGGACCTGGATTGCTGTACTGATATTCACATTGGAACTTGAGCCCAGTACCTATCACTTCAAACACTGAGTCACTCCATAGATCAACATCATTGTTAACCCCACATTGGTCTTGTAATTGAACGGTACTGGCTTTGATTCTCAGTGTAAACAACAGAATGGATAAAACTGTGTTCAGCTTAGTCATCCAATACGAAATTAATTGCACTACCTGGTTTCCACTGCCAACCACAATCCATTCAAACATGAAAGTCTGGAAAACTGTAGTTCTTTGTATTTCAAGAAAAAACTCATAAAACACTTCCTCTATCTCTTGTCAGGAGGCTTGAAAGCTTTTGCTGCAATTGATGCATTTAGAGTTGTAAGGATAATAATATTTGTCAGCCAAGACATTCTTCATTTTATTATATTACTGTCAAACACTTGATTCTGGAGGCTACTTAAGACATGATGGTATAACAATAATAGATGCTGATAAGATCAATATTAAATAACCTAGTTATTCATTCTTTCGCCATTAAATTATTTAGATATTTAAGCACTCTGAGGATTTTCCAGAAGTATATTTGGAAAAGTTAAAGACGAATGATTCAGCCGAATATCAAAGTGCTACTCATAAATCCAAAGAACCAAGGTAAAACATATTTATTGTTTTATTTATTATTCTTATTAATACATCTCAGTAAGCTAAAAACTACTGCTATTTGATAGCTCACCAGCTAGTTTGATGACAAACTGGGTTTGAAAAACTATTGTTCTAGAAATTACGACCACCTACGACTAGACTTAAAAGCATATTTAGAAATGATATCAAGAATGTTTTCATATCGTTATGCTAATTGTCCACTTTTTAAAACAAACTTATTAAACTTAGTAGCTGTCTAAAAAATCAGTAAATTATTTGACCATTCTTCTTTATTCATATATAAAGCGCCTAAGCAACCACTTTACAAGGCAGGTCCGTGAAATAGTAGTATACCTATTCTGCCCTTAGTTTAAAAATAACGAGTATTGATCTAGTCTCTAGCTACCAAATAATGTGCGTTTTAAAATCTTGCACATGAATCTGGGCTTTGCTATCATGTTGAGTTGGCATGGTAAGCCCCGATATCTTTGTAGATAACAGTTAAAGATACATTGTCCTTCGGATGTCCGCTAAAATAAGTCAACTAACTCAGAGCTGTTGTCTTTAAATCTAGTTTACAGTGATGCCTAATTTCTGAGATGTAACTCAGATCCCGCAATCACCATTATTGGGTTTAGCATTCTGTAAAGTTAAATGGAAATTTGTTGTTTGGTCTTTTGGTGTATGACGAAGAATTTTTTTTGCAGTTGCACTGTTAACTAAGACATCGTTTTACCCAAGAAAAACTTATAAATACATCGTTTCAAAGTGTTACTGGGCGGCATATTATCAGGTTAACATCCAGCGAGCAACATATTATGAGTTAATTAATTATTAACTATTTTGTTATCCATTATGACGACCTGAAAAAATTGTACCCTGTTTACGCAGAGAGCTAAATATGTTGATATTTTCTCTTGTTATTACTTTGACATTAATATAAATAAATACTGAACGGTGTAACATGTATGTGATTGTATCTGCCTGTCACTTGTTAATAACCAATCTCATGATATCTGGACATTGGTAACCACAAAGTTAAGATTATATGTCTTATTGTAAACCATTTCACGCTGTGTGAGCGACATGGTGGTGACCTTTTCTATTATAACGCTAAGTAAAGTAGATCCAAATATCTTCGAGATAGAAAAATTTTAATACACGTTATTGATGTAATTTACTGGTGCATGTTTACAGGTATGACGAATCGTCCCATGGGTTCCCAATGACTGTTCAAAACAATGTGTTAAAATATGTTCTGTATGATAATGAAAACTGAATACAATGTAGAAGAAAAAGGATTCCAAGTTTCAGATTTGTAGACAAACGGAATTTTCAGAAATAGATCTAGCTTACGCAATTATCACTTTTCATGACCAACTAAACTATTTTTCTGGTGATTTTGGTAATAGGAATGACCATAGTTTGGCTGTTTTTCATTCATAGGTACTTTGAAATTAATGGAGAAATTCCATCGCTTATAAGAACAAACCATATATTAGCACTGGTCTGTCACAATTTCCGAAAAATCAATGAAATCTCCTGGTGAATATTTACATTAAAAACAGTTTTTTTCACCTCACCAGATTAAATTAAAAGTAATCTACTGCAAAAAGTTGTAAACTTTCACCCATACACTTTCAGTTTATTATCTTGAAGAGAACAACAGCAAACATTTGAGGAGAACATGATGAACTAATTTTATTTTGCTAGGGTGTCGTTAGCTATTTACAAACTATAAAATACTTTAAAATCAAAATCACCATATAATTAACTAAATTATACTGGAGAAATCAGTCAAAATTGAATAAGCATCGTTGTAGTGGAGTAAAGATTGCAATTAAGTTGACGAGTTTGGAAAATGTTGCAAGTCAATATACTGTCCAAATAAAGATCATAGAGTACCAAAATAGCTACTAAAGTTCATAGAACTAAAAATTCACTTAATTGCGTAATGAAATAATCGAACCCAGGTTAATTGCAATATAGAATAACATGACTTGAGATGTCATTCATTAGTAACATTATGCATGTAAAAAACCCAAGAATAATGCTATCAAAGTGTGAGAAAAGTTTACAACGTGATGTAATAAAATAATCATATTGTTGCCACGATAAAGAATGCTTCACGTCAGTTTTCTTTTGGACACATTTATCTGTTCTTAGGTGCTTGATGGCTATGACTTCAACAAATTTCAGAGCACTGTCTATTAATCAACTTGGAAGATTCAAATAGATCAACCTGTCGTCCTACGTCGAAGATTTATAATGAAACAAAACTACTGAAAGCCTTTAATAGGTTTGACCTCAAACTTTTAGGAATGCTTCCTTAAAATCGAGAGTATCCCTGTGGTATTTGCAGTCCTACTGGTTATGTTTAGAAACAAGAACCACTTCAATCCCCACAACGCAAAATAAAAAACAAAAAGAATGGAACAAGTGTAGACTCATTAACTGGTCAAAAAACACTACCTTGTTTTTACTTTGAGGTATAACTGTCGATCTTTGGCTTCGTTAAAAAAACATGTTTTGTGCGAGACCATTAGTTTGGCTGCATGATACGTGTTTAATTAAGTAAATTAAGCCCAGAGTTTTAAGAAGTGTCATTAATACGGGATTTGGTTAACATCTAAAAATATCTCAGTTGCTTGCTAGCTTCGTACTAGTCAGTTGAATACATTTTGCAAAGAGTTTTTTAAATAAATTAAAAAGCTATTTACAACCATCAGCATCCAGATGTATTACTTCTTAGTTGTAACTTACGTCTTATTATACAGTTACATCTTATATCACTGATTTTCGTTGGGGTACGGGAATAACCATTGAAAAGTATTCTAATCAACCGCCCGATAGTAATCAGTCATATGTTCCTCAAGGTATATTGTCTAACCAAACTTTTCTTGTTGATGTTTGTAATGAGACAATCAAGCCATACAGTTGGTTTTGAGTTCTACACATAACAATGTAAGTAATGTATTTCGTATTAAATTCTGAACTAGTTTTCTATAATATGCATACATTATACTGTACAACCATTCGTCAAGCATTTTAATGACATCAGTCTTCATATTTGCTTATATCCAATAAATTGACAAACGCTCTATTGATTTTCGAATTAATAACGGCAGCAGAATGGATTGTGATTTTGTCCACCAAACTCTGAATGTATAATCTCTGCATATTTTGATTCAAGTGATATATATTCAGAAGAAGCTGATTACATTTTCAAATGTATTTTAATGTTCTAAGTCACTATAAAAAATTATCACATGCGTACTATGTAATTTTATAATGATTGTTTTAGTGAATTCAGGTATAATTCGTTTCTAAAAATTGCCTTTTAATGTACATAAGTGGGTTGGTCAAAGTCTTTTAAGACATGCTAAGTGACATGGGTCTGAATTGTATTTTTGCTGAAGGAGACAAGATATTCTGCTTATAACGGGTGAAATTCATTATAAAAGCTGAATATTGTTAGGAAACAGTATTTGAATAAATATGAATTAAAATGCTATGAAATTTCTGTTGATGGAAAGTGTTTTTCGTTTCCTCTATTCTACGTCATCATTTAGATTTACCTTCTCTCTTCTGTAAACTTATTTTCATGTGTAAGATTATGAAAAATATGTTGTTTTTTAAATATAATTTTAGTATAACAAAGGGCTCACAGAATGATTTACAAAATCAACCTAAATCATCAGCTGGACTGTTAGGTAGAGTGACCATCGGTCGATTAGAACCGAGTGGTTCCGCTTTGAATATTTCTGGACATGTTCAAAGTCAAGATATGCCACTGGATCGTTTTATAACACACAACATGACTAGAGTAAGTGATTATTCGATTTGTGACAGCTAACTTGTGGCATTTTGTCTTTAAACTCCCTGAGTAATATATATATAGGGTACATAATGTTTGGAAGTAGCGAGACATTTATATTAAAAGTTATCAGGCTGCTGAAATCCGAAATAAAATGGCCTCACTCTTCTACAATGGAACATGTTTTATGTCGTTATATAGATTAGTGTTCTCCAGCCAACCACTTTATGTAACTTGAAGGTGTGAGTCTCGAAAACAATAGCTTCAAAGTACGTGAACTATTTCATATATTCTTGCGGAACCTATCTATGTTGATGGTTTGTATTCAAAATGCTTAGCTATTTAGTCATAGATTCATCAACAGATCAATCGTCGAATATTTTAACAACGTTGATCACTCGAATAAAACAGGCTATTCACCCAGACACACCTTCATGTCCCGAATTAACCAATACAGGATAGTGTTCCTTTATATTTTTTTACAGATGAAGAGTCTCAACGTATGTGTTGGGTCTTTATTCTTACCATTTGTCTTAGATTTAGCCGAGCAAATCATTCCCTTTTTCATACTGTTAAATCCTCATTTCAGTACCGCAAAATAATTCTCATAAAACACTAAATTAATTAATTCACTAGTTCTTGATATCTAATAACAAATGTCTTCTATAGAGCGTGATCCTCTGTTTATCTCTCGAGGACTATCTAGTTAAAGTTATAACAACGAGTCGCACTAGTCAAGTTTAAGTTATGAATATCAAGGTCACAGGATGCAAATAAAGAACATTCTGACTGTGGTCTGATCCCCGCTGATTTCAGTGATGATTTCTTAATAAATTATCTGCAGGTCACAACGTTTTATGAAATCTCTTCTACACTGCAACGAATGGTACAAAAGAATTGTACTGAGTTGATAAGTAGTCCATTCATCTAAATTCAGTCGAATTTTAGTATCTACATTGGAAATTTTTACAAAGGCTAGTTTGAGAGCTTCAAATAACGTGGTTTCTAACCTTCATCTATAACCATCAAGAACGATATTGAACCAGAGATAAAAATGTATTCAGACTACTGGAGAGTATAAGTGTCGTGCTGGTTGAGATATGATCACCATATGATTGTTTGCAACTCCTTTCCCAGTGGTGCATATGAACAATGTTCAAATAATTAGATTGCGCGTAAAAAACTAACTTCGAAGCTACAAAGCTTCAACAGCGAACATGATTTTGAGTCATGTGAGTGAACTCCTATTATTTAGTTATTTATTTATTTGTTTAAACGCATAAACATAAGTACAAAAAGGCACCAAATGGATATGCACCGCATAAATCATTCGATTTGTGTGAGGGCTAGGATACTGCGCGGTTGCCCAAACTGAAACGGGTTGAACTCCTATAACGAACATATTTCAATTTCAAAACAAAAGAACCACTAAATAACCCTGAAAAATCCTTTACCCCTACAAGAAAGATACATACATTTTAATGGTGTTTGTTCTCCAAAATACATTATTCTTTTTACACTTAATTTCTGATTGGCTGAAAAGGCAGAGAAGCTTAAGGTATTTTTAAGAGTTCAAAGTTCCTTCTTACACTGTAATTTTATACACATCTGGCACATAAAATGCTCGATATTTTTCAAGAAAACCATCAAAAGAAGTATACATTCATTAGTTTGGTGAACAGACATGAAGTAGCTAGGTTATGTGTATGCCTATGCATATACTTGTCTATTCATATTAAAAAAAATCAAATAACAGATTTTTCACAATTCAGTTGCAATTTTTATACAGTATGTATATTTCAGTAATTTTTTTTCCATTTAAATTTTGCAAGTTCTACTACCCACCACCTGGTCAAGGTGATGGAGACCGAGGACATATTCTCTTTAATACACAACCTCTCAAAGAAACAGCAACTTCAAGATCAGTTAGACTACATTATCTTGAACCACAAACGCCATCAACTTATAAATTGGGTACCGATGATCCCTACCAATCAAAGTAAGCCTTTTTAATTTTACTCAAAAAATTCCCTACAAAAATACTAAACTTTATGAATTACAATTGTAAACATTATTCACTCGAAATAATCCAAACTGTGTTTTGTTACAAATCATACTTTCTAACATACTTTATATCTTCAAACGTTTACACAGCTAATTCTGATCCCTTCACTTAAAACCTTTTAAAAGTTTAGAAGTGAATTTTCTTAGCATCATATTCCTTATGTCACACGAGTAACACAAACCAGCTGAGTTATGGTTACAATAGTATAAATGAGAAATCATGTGCATTTGTTTATCTTATCACTATATAAAAACGATTGAACTATCAAGAGCCTTACTCAAAAACCTGGAACTCATTTGACGATGTACAAATGTACGAAAAGACTACTGACCACATTTCTAAATATCTGTTTATTGGCAGGCATTAAGGTAATTAATATTCCGTTAAAGTTAAAGGTACAACCCAGACCAAGTGAGACGTGTTTAAAATATATTCAGTTTGACTGGATAAAGCTGCAGCTACTGCAGAAGCATGACTTCAATGACAGACGTGATTTCGAGGATCATATAAAAAATTGACACCTACCAGTTGAACAATAGAAATATTAGTTAGTAATTAGACTATTTTAGATAACGTTTGTTGGGAGACTGAGTCTTATAGACAGGGTTGATAAGTAAAGCTGAGGAATGTCGTCAGTTACTACTGAGGCTAAATTAGTCGTTACCAGGTAATTTAATCGACTGAATTGGAGAACCAAACTTTTGACTAGGTTTCAACTTTGCTCCTTGTTTGGTTGTATGTGGACGTTAAGCATCTCATTTTTTATGTTAATGTTAATCTGTTCTACCACAACACCTTTTTTGTTTCCAGAAGTATTTTGGCAAGAGATACACTTCTCAGACGGACGACGAAGAATATTATGTGAATTTCTATCTACCATTACTTTTTAGCCAAAAGAAATAAACTGGTTTACTGTTCTAAAACGTTTTCTGGTATATTTCTGTCACTGACGGTAAACAGGTAGTATACTAACAATTAATACCCTCGATTTTCAAAATGCCTTGTACTATAATAGTTTCTGAACGAAATGAAAACCGAAGGAGGTTTCTTCTGAATTTTTTAATTAAAATCAAGAAAGGAAAACACTAATATAACTCTATACATATTTGGAGTTCTATGTGTGACATGATTATAATTCTTATCATTTAACTAGTTCAGGACGTTTATGAAATCCTTTGCCGCAAGTGTGCCATGGATGTTATTTAAACCATTTTCCTTCCATTAAGAAAAAATGTAGTTCAGTGAGGAGGTAAATACATAAAAGTAGGATGATCACAACTGAATAGTAAATAACTAATGTTCCGGAAAGAATTACAGAAGGTGTCCCAATTTATATGCATGGTCAGATTGATAAGTAAAAGAATATAAAGTATAAATGACAGACATATAAGGGTAAATTGTTTGAAAGGACGTAGTTGATAAATTGTTTTGATAGGAGATTTATTACTGGTATTATAACAATGTAAAGCGGTAATTCGAAACCAATAATTTTCTCAGGAGAAAGACTGGGACGTCATGTTATATTTAAGAGTTATCTCAGTCTCGTTACAGGGTATTCATAGCTATCTACAACTGGTGAGAAGAAAAAGAAAACAAAGGGGAAGGAGAACGTTTGCTAAAACTATTGTGATAGGTTTATCACTATAAATTTTCTAGTTGGTTTTTTAATCTAATGATTCGAATAAATTTTATTTGAACTAGTCGACTTAGCCAGGGATGGCGTAGGGGTAAAATATCAACAAGGAAGAAAGCTCAATAAGTATACTCAGTAATGACAATGGTCAAAAGTTTACTGTTTCCATAATCTCACTAACGAAGTAAGATGTAGTCAGTGGTGTAAGCATTCTCAGGGCCATTTCAGTGAAGCGGTAATCATTGATATAGTGTGCAAACTAAGATTGTAGTTTTTTCACGGATTGTTGGAAATTATTCCAGGGTCTCGAAATCTACTCGCAAAGTAATTCATACAGAGATTTAGAATGAAGCAATTTTACTTTTGATGGAAGTTACGAATGTTATAACTAGGTGATTCTTCATCATGGATCCCATCAGTGGATATGAAAGACGACATATTGAATATTTTGGAGAAAAATATTAGATTCAGTCTAAGTCGCTACTTCCATAAAGATTCAAGTCATAATTTAATGCATCCGGATATACATTTTAAGGTACAATCACTCCCGAAAATACGGAACGTAAGGCCCCGCTAGGCGGATAACATTTTGAGTTTATCTTCTATGCGAACACTACTGAGAATAAAGTACAGTATTCTAGAATTGATGGGACGTATACTTTGTAAAGTGTTATAGAAGTTGTATTATTTACAGACCAGAAGTTGCCAAGACTTGGAGGTCTGCGTTAAGATTTTCTCTAAGAAGGGCGAACCGTGAGAATATCTGAGTCCCAAGTCTACCAATGAATGGAACCAAGATAGTACTTTACCGTCTTTGGCGAAGCTGAAATCTAGAAAAGGACTACCAAAACAAATCCACTCACATTTTGCAGTCCCAAGTTCTAAGTTCCACTTCCAGCACGATAAGGTGACCTTACTGATCTTCTTACTGATATACTTTGTATATGGCGAAGCTTGTGAAGAGAAAGTGAATCATCTATGCACAGGAGGGGTTTAATCTTCCTGAGGCATTCGGAGATATCATTTATATTAGCTATGAAGAATATATCAAAGACTACTTTGTATTACATTACTTGTGCCTGGAAGAGAATCCAATAACTTCACCTTATAATTTTTTTACATTATTCTAGAGACAAATGAAGTAGTATTAACTGTCCCATAGTTGTCCAAGTTGGTCTTACCTTCAGATTTGTAACGTTTTGTTATATTTGTGGTATTCCACCGGTTAGAATTGGCCCTTGTGTTCAAGACAGTGTAGAAAGTTTTAGGAGAAGTAATGGAATATCAAGTCCACCTGAATACTCAGTGACTAACTGAAACCTTAAGGAAGGTTGTAGCTTTACTAATGTTGAGATAAGTGACAGAAATAGATTCCATAAAGCTACTAGTCATGTCCGTAACCTTTGCTTCACCCTTTTACAGAAGTTCATAATTGTTCACAAAACACAAATGAAAAGGCTGTTTATGGTTATAGAATTACTGATAAATAGATCATTATAGAAGATTCAAGAGATATCTACATTTTTAGATGCACGAACGCGTTTGTTGAAAAGAGGAACTGAGTTTCGCACTTCTAAGTTATTGTCAAAGTACTAAGAAATCTTCATCACTTGGCTTGTAAACTATGAGCTTCTTTTTATTTGGATAAAATTTATAATTATTTGTACAACTGCTGGAAAATCATTCAACTTGATGTAACATTTCTGCAAGCGTTTAGTTTATTGCGATGCCTAACTTTTGTGGATAAATCATTTGACTTAATAGTTCTGTATGTTTTTACTGGTGCAATGGAATCCAGGCAAGAATTATTGATTAAGTAACATATGTCTAGTGCACCTTCTGGACTATTACTAGAGAAGAAGCTACTCTAATCTGAACACTTTAACAGGGTTTGCAGGAAGTCCCAGTTGTCACTTTTGTAATCCCAGTATTAACTGATTTTTTGTAAGAGAAGGCTTTTATTAGGGTTGATAATGATAATAATGGAATCGATGGCCGTTTTATGATCACTACGTTTAAATTCTGTGTTTACGTGTACGGATAGAGAAATAATATCTCCACAAAATCCAGGCTGAAGGTGTCCGAAGTATAAATGACGGTCTGGCTAACACGGCTCTGGATTTTAAGGTCGAAAATTTACTTAGAAGTGAATATGTATTGATAAGTAGTAATTATTCGTATTCCACACAGCTTCGTAATGATTCTAGGATCTCATTATGTTATCAACCTACCTAGTGGTGTAATCAAAAACGTTTAAACACATCAAACTTTTAAGTCCGTATGATTTTGTATACTGATCTGCGGCAAACATATTCATATGTTACAATGTAATCATAGGTAATTATTTATTTTGACATAAATGTCACTGATCAAATATTTCATTCTAGAATCGTTAATTACGAAGACATTACAGAAAAGAGTTTGCACGTTAATGGTTTAATTTACCTAAAGTATAACTCATTTCCATAATCATTAAGCAATCATAATTGACTCACGAATATGAGGTAGCAGAATTCACAACTAAGTTTCAATATCTCATTATCGACTTCATCTCACCAACATATGTCTTTAAATTATATTGATTATGCTAATTATTATAGCTTTCGACATTAACTCTATGTTTGCTAATCGAATCTATACCTTGGTTACGCAGTTAAAACAACTATTTGTTTATGATAACTTATCACCAATAATAATATAGTACGAAAATGATCTTTTTAAGTTGATGTTGTGATCGTTAGTCTCATTTTTGGTGTATTTTCAATAGTTAAAAATCCAATGATATTATAATGCAGAATCAGTCATATATTTATCCAAACTCTGATGATCTTGTTGAATCTTTAATGACTTCTAAATGTTCCATCGCGAAATTGTCGAGAACTGCAATGATGCTGACTACCTCGACGAATGATATACTTTTTAATACAGTAATGAATTCGCACCTGAAAATGTACTTAATTGCCATGAATTCCACTTTAATATGCATCACATCTGTAGATAATCAATGAACTTATAGAAACCTGCACTAACAGTGTTTATTACTTTTGGATATTCTTCGGCGAAGTCTACGACCATTTCCACACCACTTAATATGTTTCTGCGCTGAACCAAAATCCAAGTTGTTCTGGTTGCTCCAAAAAATATACAAGAAAAATGCACAAACTACTGTAAAGTTTTCATATATATCTTAAAGTTGATGTCATTACGACATTTTATGGTTTTTCCACAAGGCACACGAGTACTTTTTTCGGTTTAAATAGATATTCACCTGGTTAATCAATTCTAAACTAGGAAAGTTTATTGCAATTGCTTACCATAAGTTTGAACAAGATGCTGCGGACACCTTATTTTAAATTACGTGACCAAAATACACTAATTAATTGACCATTTCCTGAAAAACTAATGAATTTCAAGAGGAGTAAACAATTTAAAATAACATACTTTCAAAGTAATAGTGTACATTGATTTGATTTGTTGATTGTCCTTAAATAAAGAGATTTCAAAGCAATTCACTTTTCCCCAGTGTAAAATTGTCAAATATAAACAAATAAAACAAGTTTTGTAATCAACCTACGTTTTACTTACAACTAGTTTCAGCACAAGCTGCACGTAATGCTTACATAGTTCATGCACTTTCAAATTAGGTAACAGAAAGTGACCAATAGATGAATATTACTGTAATCAGTACATAATGAGTAAAAATTAACCTGCTATTTTAATAGTCCTATCTTGTATAATAATTTTCTTTTCACTGTTGTTAATTTAAAGACTATCGAGTTATTAATCCATTGGATATGTATTCAATAAACATGATTAAAAGACATGGTGGAATTACAAGATAAATATTTGACATTTAGTGATCTATGCAGTGTTGTGATTTACATAAATCTGTAATAAATGGGACATTCAAATTTTTGAATATTTTTGTTCTTAAAGTACTATATTTTTAATATAATCAAGAACGAATGGTTTCACCTTACATTTCCAGATAATATGGATGAATAATCTTCACCATTGAATATAACAACACTGGCCAAATGAGCCAATTTTATGCATAAGTATTGTTCTAATGAATAAAGCATGTTTACAAAACAATAAAATTCCTTTTTCCTTAAATAAATTGGTTCATAATGGGTAAATTGCTTCGATTAATTCTCTGACTGTTAACAGGAGTGAAAACAGTAAATATTTCTACTACTGTTGGGGGGGGGGGCAAGTTAAATTATTCAATG